GCTATACGAGCTCTGTAGACCACGCTGAGGTCCGCCAGTGTGAGCAGACTGCGCAGGGACCTGGGGACTGCCAGACACGCTACCCGACCGGTTGAAGGCAGGGCTATACGAGCTCTGTAGACCACGCTGAGGCCCGCCAGTGTGAGCAGACTGCGCAGGGACCTGGGGACTGCCAGACACGCTACCCGAACGGTTGAAGGCAGGACTGTAATTCTGCAGTCCTCTGGAATTACGGCTGGTAGTCGGGCCAGTAGCAAATGCAGCCCCTCGCACACCACCTGCGGAAATCACTGGGCGGTGTTCCAAACTAGATTTGCTGACATCCGCAGCATCACTCGAAGCAAGAACTACAAAGCATCCCGTCAGATTAAGTGTGGAGGTTTTGAACAGAAACCCGTCCGTGATCTGTGTCAAAGCTTACTCGTAGCGATCGACGTAACCTTGATGAGCTTCATAATAAAATAGGACCTTAGTGTAAAATATCACAACTGTTTTGTTTAGATAACACTGCCTGGTGTACGCTGCAACGGCGTGTCGTTTGACGACAACGTGTCCCAGGTTTTGTCGACGTGCAAGTCATTTGCGCACGAGTCATTTGCGTACGAGTCATTTGAGAAAAATAGTCAGACGTCTATGATGCTTATGACCATGTGTAGCGGTAGCAGCATTAGCTTTACCAGCCCTTCGTACAGAGCAGCGAGGCTCTTGACTAGCCATTTCATGAAGGCCTGAGCGTTGAACCACTTGATGTCGTCCTCATCGTCAGTCGCGGCCTCGTCTTCCAGGAGTCCGGGTAGCGGGGAAATGCCAGGCACGGCTGCTCTGGGAATGGGTACCACGGGTCCCACCACGGGTCGCCTGAGCACAGGCGGTCTCCGCGGCGGTCGCTGTACGTGACCTCCTCGTCCGGTGGAGGCGTCTTCGGAGCTGCTGGAGGCGGCCGTGGTAGAGTCCTCGTCATCCTCATCTTCGTCGTCAGGAGGAGCAGGCGAGGGGTCATCGGCCGCGTCGGGGTCGGCCTGCGCCAGGACGTCCAGAAACCCCGCTCGATCGCGGCCTTCCGCGCGGTGCAGTAACTCCGACAATTCCGCCACGTCTTCCAAACGCCACAGCGGCGGCGGCAGCCCGGCCGCCAGCAGCGCCACAACCAACGCCAAGAGCCGCATTTTTTCCACGTCCCACGGGAAAAGCGCTCTGGCCGACGACTTACGGCCGGAAGGCAAAGCTCACGACCGGCGGCCTTAGTCCGAACCCGGGGCCATAACCCGGAGATGGGCTTCCCGGCCTTAGGGTTTCCATATATAGAAGAGTGACCTCGGGCGCACACGTTTGGCAAACTCCACTCTAAGGCGGCCCCAAGAAGTCCTGGTCCATCTGAGCGACGGCGGTCATGCCGTTAGTTTCGTATTTATAGCCAAGGATGCGGATGCGCACGTCCTGATCGACACCGAGGCGCGTGCTCCCGTCGGTCCACACGCCGTTGTGCTGCTTGTAATCGCCGCTAAGATTGGATGCCGTCACGAAGGCTTTGATGGGTCCGCACTGTGCGAAGAAGCCCATCGAGTTCACACTCACGATCACGCCGTCCATGACCTCCTCCTTGACTGGCTGGAAGGCCACAGCCTGACACTTGACGGGCACAATGATGTTCCCACTACCGTCCTGCACCCGGCCCTTCTCGCGTTCCAACAAGCGCACCACGCACACGATATAGCCGTACTTAGAGATGCACCGTCCTTCAATGTCGCTCCGCAGCGTGTCGGCCACATGCTACCACCACACACTGATAAAGGGGGGGAAGGGGAAACGGGGGGGATGTGGAACGGGGGGGGGGGTGTTATTGGCAGAGCGCGTTGTAATAACAGGAGGGCTTAGTAACACCCGAGATGGGCGGAACTAGTCATGTGTAGGGTGAGTTACCTGTTCGAAGTTCGGTCCTAGTTGGCCAGGCTTGATACAAACATTGCGATGCAAGTCCACGATGAAGAACATTATTAAAAAGCGAACTTTCCGCGGAAAACGCGAGGTCAGGGGCTTCCCGGAGGCCCCGCCATCGGAGACCGCAGCTTGCCCAGCATCGTGGCTTTGCTCGTGGTAGAGGCAAAGTTGCTGTTAACGCTTTGAACAAAAATGCCGATGGACTTACAAACCATCCCCACCGGCAGCTTAGGTCCACTGTAAAATTGGGACACTTCCCAGATACCGAGCCGCTTGCTCAAGGTTTCGTTAATTTCGTCGGATAGTTTCTTGTCCAGCTCCGCAATCCCGTCACAGAGACCCTTGATGTGGTTCAGCACTGCGTTGTGATTGAAATGCGTCTTCAACTCCAAAGGTTCGTCGCTGCTACTGGCCTCCCTCCGTCCAGAACACCGGCGAGTCCGGCCTCCGGGAACCCGGCCACCTCGTCGTCCGGAAAGCCCGTCGTCTAGGCGCCGGTTGGGACTCACGGATCCGGAGCTCAGGGTACTCAGAACCCAGCGACTGCCGGAGCCTCCGTCGTAGCTCGCATTGCTGCTGGGACTCGTGTGGGCTTTGCCGTGACTGCCGTGCGAGGAGGACCCTCGACCCCCCACGACCTTCTCGTGGAACTTGGAAAGACCTCCTGGCAGTCGCTTCTCCGTGGGGGCCATCGCCTTGGAAGCCGCCTTGGGACTCAGTTTCGGAGAAGAACACTTGTTATCTGCGGTCTCCAGGTCAACACTCTTGGTCTCCAAGTCAGTTCTCTTGGTCTCCAAGTCAGTTCTCTTGGTCTCCAAGTCAGTTCTTTTGGACGTCTTGGAAGTCATTGAAGTAAAGTTGGGTGTTGCAGCAGATGGTGCCGCGGGTTTTCCCGGTTCAACACTGCTAGAGGAAGAGTGGCAGTGCCGGCCACTCAGCTTGAGTAACTCCTTGTGGTGCGCCACGGCAGCATGTAGAAGGGCAGCAAAGTCTTGTCCCTTTCCGTCCTTTCCATACCGGCCGTCCCCGGTTCGAGTCACGCCGTAACCTGCACCGTCACACGGTTCATTGTCCGGGCGTCTGGGAGGCTGCCCGCGGCCGGAGGCCTCCCTGTTGCCCTCGACCTCCCAGCTGTCGTATTCCCTGGTCTGGAGAGTCAGATCGCTATCTCCTCGCCTCCTGCGAGCAGTGAGTCCAGCGCCTTCACGAGCTTGGTGATGATCGTTGAATATTCCATAAGGTGGGTGATCATGAGACAGGAGTTTGCTCGACAGGTGTGCGCAGGACAGATGTTTAGGGGACAAGGGTCCGCTGGACAAGGGTCCGCTGGATAGGGGTCCACTGGAAAGCTGTGTTCTAACTAATCGGTGGGCCGTCGCCTCGTTGTCTTCTGTTGGTCTCCACGCCAGGTGGACCCCGGTTCGAATCACGGGGACGGAAGCGTCGCCGCGTTCCAGGCATTGAGTAGCCTGCGCTGGTCGTCTCGCGGCCAAGTGGTGGTCTGTCCGGCGCGCCTTTGCTCGAACGTTCGACGCGTGGTGCTTGGCTTCGTCCTGTTCGAAATTGGTTCTCTTGCACCGGACACCGTGTGCAGGGACCGCACGGGGGTCAACCGCACGGGGGTCGAACTCCCGGGGGTCGAACTCCCGGGGGTCTTGTAGAACGTGCGACATTTTGGTTCTACGTCCGGAAGCGAGGGATACCGGCGACCCCACTTGGGGAGAGGACGCCGAAAGCTTCTGTCCCCTGAACCGGCCTGCCCCTTGACCACGATTGGTTCCGGGGGAACAAACAAGCTCTTCCGAACAGTACCCCGAATCGCTGTTTCCGACGTACCCTTGTTTCCGGTTGCTGGTCCCAACATATCCCAGGTCGCTGCCTCCAACACGCCTGGCCGCCTTAACGCGTGGTCTCCTTTTGGTTGAAGTCAGGATCGAGTTGGTGATTGCTCTGAGAACCATCAGCGAGTGTGAAAGACTCCCAGAAGCTTTCTGAATGTACAATACGATGTCATTAAGGGCTGCTTCAAAATCTATTTGTTCAATCAAATCAATGACTTTATCCAAGCTCAGAATTGACGTTCCCGGCTGCTGATGTTTCCATTGACGAATAAATCTTCCTAACCGTACAGGATCGGACGTCAATGTCAACAGAGACCAAATAGAAATTCTTTGATCTGGAACAAACGAAGATTTAACTGGCGACCCGTACTCAATCTCGCCCCTTTGTATAAGGGTACCGGCTAAGCGAAACATCCTGAGATATACATCATTCGTTCTAAGTTCTGATAAGAACGAATGGAGGGTTCTGTACATACACGTTGCATCAAATGCTGCATTTAAAATCGGAAGGCACACCGATAAACACAGAGCCTTCTCTGCAACACTACAAGGAACATTGATAGCAACCAGCTACAGTAAGTAACAATACAGTGCAATGGAGCAAACAAGTGCAGTGGGTCAACCTGTCTTAGTCAGTCAACCTGTCTTAGTCAGTCAACCTGTCTTAGTCAGTCAACCTGTCTTAGTCAGTCAACCTGTCGTTTATCTGTCGTAGTCAATCGCGAGCTTACCAGTCTATAGATATGAGTTGAGAAATCAGACTAGATAGCCCTAGTTGTTCCGGCCCGATCCCTATTTTCCCTCTACCGTTGGACATGGTTCGAAGGTACGTGATGGTGACTACGGAGGGTAGCACAGAAAGGAGCGCCTCTCCGTCCTCAACTCGCAGTAGAGGTGGTTCATTAAGCCCCATAGGAAATAGTGAAGACAAGAATGCGTCCCAATTTTCGAGTGCATCACACCAAAGCTGTAATTGTTTCGGGTGACTCGATTCGAAGGTCCTCAAGGCGGCCAAGTCACGAAATAGTTCCGGTAGAGTAATTTCTTCTCCTACCCCACCTTGCAAGCGCTGCATCGAGTTCACAGCTTGGAAATGAATACTACATCGGCAGGGGTCATCGAAGGGCGGTCTCATCGAAGGGCGGGCTCATCGAAGGGCGGGCTCATCGAAGGGCGGGCTCATCAAGGGCGGTCTCATCGA